CCCCCCCCCCCCCCCCCCCCCCTCTCTCATTCGGGAGTTCAGGTGGAGCACAAACACGCGATCACCAGAATGGAGTCGGCCGGCAAAACTCGATCGGTGGTCGCGCGTAGTGCACTTACACTGACTGCGGAGAAAGGTGTGGTATGGACTCAAAGCAAGCTTTGAACGATTACCTGGGCCAAGACGACCCGGACGCAAGTGGATGGGAATTGAGATGATGAATAAAAATGATGCTGCACGATATAATGAAAACATTCTATGCCGTCGTACCCTCTAGTCACCCTTGGTGCGTAGCCGGGAACTATATCCGAACATGAATACAAGTGTATGATAGGTTGGTGGGCCACCTCCTATAATTTCCTCGACTGTGGTCTTTGCGACGGCCACGACGAAGGCGTTGCCCATGTAGGTGTCCGGTAAGGGAAGCTGGAGGCGGGGACGCGCGTTGACGGGCATGTGATTTCGTCTAGCTCCAGCGGTTTTTCGGTAGGTGAATGTTCCGTCCCCCTTCGTCAGTCGTCACTGCCACAAAGCTCTAATCAGAGAAGTCCAGATCATTTCGCAAAGGCAAGTACGTTGAGGAAACCCAGAAATCTGAGCATTCCTTCCTCAGTTCCGCCTTGACTTCGCCCTTGAGTCTCCTCAGCCCGCTCGATTGAGCCGCAGGGTTCGACTCACGTTCTTCTCCTTGGTCGGCAGCGGTACGTGGCTTCGGTAATCAAAGTAGTACTCCTCCGGCGGCGTTCTATCATTCGCAGGAAGCGGATATCCAGGGAGAAGCACGATACTCCCCCGACCCTCGTCCACTCCCCCTTCCGACTCTTGTGCAAGCTCATCAACCACGCAATCCAGCTTTGCCTCAGCCAAAATATTGTCATAGTGGGCACTGTCCAGTTTTGGATCGACATATGTTCCTCGCGGATGGGTTGGGTGTTCTAGTGAGTTCTATGGTACTGTTGATGTGTTTCTCGGCGCCTGTAGCAGTCCAGTACGCACTGTGGGCAAGTGCGATAACCCCTATCGTCACTACTATTATGCGCGACGGATCTGTCGCAATACTCCATGATCGAAACACCTTGAGCAACAAAAATTGAACAGCTTGTGCTTCACATACGCCAGGCGCTACTATGACGTGCGCGCATCGTCGGTCTCTACGACCTCCCCATCCTCGACGACGCCCTGGCGTCGTCCTACACTTATCAAGAAGCGGGATACGCCACCACCATCTCCAGAATTAAAAAAAAGAATAGCGCCGCCTTCTTTTTCTGCGACCTCCCAAGGGAGGAAGAGGTTGAGGAGGAGATATGGCTGTGGCGTTTGAAGAGGTCGGGGAAGACGGGTTTGTTATCCCCAAGCGAAGCGGAGGCGTGCCTGCCGACGCGTAGCTGGGGAGTTACTTCCGTTGTTGTGAGCCGGAGAAAACTCGTACTCTGGATTAGGCTTGGCAATGAAGTTTTCTACCCTCTCATTGGCTAAATTAAAGAAGCCGTTAGGTGGCTTCGCATCGGCGACGCTGTTGGAAGGCGCGATGGCCAAGGGGGGTGTTTAGCGCTTCCTCTCGAGTAGCTCAACACAACACCCGTCACCTCCTCAGAATCTCGCCTCAGTCTTTCCAACACGATTTCTCCGACGCCCTCCCTACAGCCGTAGCGGCGAGCGTTTACCACCAGCAACAGCGGCGGCGGCGAGCACCGAGCGTGACAACTACTCCTAGGGATAAGCCCCTATTGATAATTTCGCCTCGCCAATCAATCAACAGTACATGCTACCACAAGAGAACCTTTGGTACTATCCTACTCATCACGAATTATGTCCAACATACTGAGTACCCTTGAAGTTTCTTTAGTTCTATAATGGCTTCCATACAACAAACGAGCATGATCGCCACGCCCTCTACCGGCTGGCATAAGCTCCCGGGAGAACTTCGAAACCAGGTATACGAGTATGTACTCGTTTCGAAAGCGCCCATATACGTCGAATCTTACTTCGACGGCCCCCAAATCTCGGACGCGGGCCTTTGTCGGGGCTCTCTCCATGACCGGAAGGGTGAAAAGGTCAGGTTAGGCCCCAACTTTCTGGCAGTCAACAGCCAGATATACAAGGAGGCCGCCCCCATCTTGTACCGCCGAAACAATCTGGTATTCCGGGACTTATGCAAGGTGGCCAACAACCAAACATGTTTGTTCGTCTTTGCTTGTTTCAGCCCAACAATCAAGCAAAGATCGAGGATTCTCTGAAACAAACAAGCAAAGACGGAGGGCTGCCATCTTCGCAAAGATTCAGACCCTCTTCTTACCAAACAAGCAAAGATCGAGCCCTATCTTTGTTTGTCTTTGATTGTTGGCCACCTTGCACTTATGCGTAGAACCAAAACGGTTATTGCATCCCTCATTTCACTTTGGCCAACTTCCGTATCTGGCCGCTATACCAAGCCTGCAACCAGTCAGGCAAACCAGGATCAGACAACACATGGGAAAGAGGAACTCTTACACTCGTAGCCCCCAAACCCACCGCCCTGATGCCACTCAGCTTCGCCCACCTCGGCACCTCGACCTTCTCCTCGCGCAGTCGGGCGTCCTCGTCCGCAACGTCCGGGTTGAAGATGACGTCCCTGGGCGCCGAGGGCTGCAACACCGCCGGCCGGCCGATGCCGACGAGGTCGCAGGCTGATGTACCGTCGGTACCGCCGCCTGCTATTGCCGCCTCCATGCCCAGCCGCGTGCGGAACCCGCCAGTGACCATGAGCGTCAGCGAGGGGAAGTGGCCGCGGATCGACCTTGCGAAGTCTAGGAAGAAGGCTTCGCGCGCCGAAGTTTCTTCTTCATCTTCGTCGCCGGCGCCGCCCATCATCTGCAGCGGCGAGATCAGCAAAGGTTCCATTAACGAGGAGCATCCCACTCACCCACGGATCCTCATATAACCCGCCACTGATCTCCAAGAAGTCAATCCCAGCCTCCAAAATCGCCCCAATCTGCTCAATCGCCTCCTCCATCGCCTCACCCGTCTGACAATCCGCCGAATCCAACTTCACACCCACACAAAACCCCTCCTCCGGCGTCACCTTCCGTATCGCCTCCACAACCTCCACCACCATCCTCGCCCGCTTCCTCGCCGACCCGCCATACGCATCCGTCCGGTGGTTACTTTCCGCAGAAAGAAAGGTCGCTACACCCACCCACACAGCCAGCCACACAATTCAGCACACTTGCGCCCTTCCCTCAAAAAAGAAAAGAGGAGAAAAGAAAAGAAGAAAGAAACAAGAAAGAGCCACTCACCCAACAACCCCCCACCCCCCGCCAACACCTCCACGCCGCCCCACCCCGCCTCCGCCGCCACCCTCGCCGCCTCCGCGAACCGCCCCGCCACCGCCCCCGTCTCCCCCGGCGCCCCCAGCGCCCGCGGCGTCCCGAACACGGCCGACGCCACGCTCGCCGCCAGCCACCCCGACCCCAGCCGCACCGGCACCGCCGACGCCGCCAGCGTCTGCGTGCACGGCGAGCGCGTGCCCCCGATGCCCATGCCCGCTGCGGGTGAGTGGCGGTCGGCGTGGGTGAGCTGCATTATTGGGATTGGGGGCGGCGGGGCGGAGGTGGTGGAGGTGGTGCCGCGGGCGCTGGAAGACCAGCGGTGCCATGAGTGGGTGAGGAGGGTGGTCGGGGGGGTGGCGGAGGGGAGGGCGGCGTCGCCGGGGTGGTTGAGGAATTGGGGGTCGATTTGGACGGCGCCTGTGGGCGGGGAGGGGCGGGTGTGAGATGGATGGTACAGTGTGGGTGGAGGGAGGGAGGGAGGCGGTGCGTCGACGTACCGGTTAGGATCATGCCCCAGCCGCCTTTGGCCCAGGTTTGGTAGACGGCGTCGAAGGCCTCGTCGGGGAGGTGGTGTTTGGATGCGGATGTCATTTGCTCGGCCATGGCCGCCTTGGAGCGTCTGGTGTCAGCCCGGTTGCTTGGAATGGATGGAAGTGAGTGGAGCTGGTGCTGTATGTACATACCTTGACGAGGCGGTTTGGCAGCACTAGGCCGCAGGGCAGGGTCAATGGCTTCGAGATTGCGAGATCCATGACTGGGAGAGAAATGTATTCAGCTTGTCGATGTTCTCTCGGTAGATGCGATGCTTTTGCACTGCTCGAGACAGCCACGCAATCGAGCAGGAGGCTTTCGATGACCAGCCCATACAAGATGGGTCGGTCGGGGCGGAGAACGGATGCCACCATCTCCGCGATGTTGACGAAGCGGACGAATTGGTGCGGCCGGTCTTTCCCGAAACGGCAATTTTTGTGACATGGCTGGTTTGAAGTTGGGCCGTGGCCAATCAGATGGTGACCCTCCCGGTGCGTGTCGGGACGATAGTTCGTCCGCGTCGGCCACCTGCCTCGGTACCTAGCTGACATCTGAGTAATGCTGTGCCAAGGACGGGCAATAGAGCAATGTTGGAACTAGACTTGGTCCTCGTGAAAAGAAATGATTCCTGCTTGAAAAGGCTTTGTTATTGGTGAATCACATTCAAATGCGGGACGTCCGCCCGTTGCTACTTTAGGAGATTAAAAGACATGTCACGACAAAACATTAGGAAAGAATCCATCGAGAGCTTTAGAACTGAAACGTCATTGCGAGCTACAGAACGGGTCGTATACAATGCAGCGTGTCATGAGCATTCAGATACAGCCAATATAGATATATCGCCTGTATGGGTCTACGCTTCGGTTCGTGCTACCGACAGATGTTAGCGGCTCGATTCGCGGCCCGGCACTGAGCCATTAAAAAAAAAAAGAAAAAAAGCCAGCGTCAAAACGCAAAACGTACAACAGCCGGGATTCCCCAATGGTCACCCACTTGAGTACTAATCGGCCGGTTCGCAGCTTGAGTACGGCTGAGCGGACGGGAAGCCCTATATTCTGCGACCTATGGTCGTACGTGAAAGACAATGTTGCTGGAAAGGTATATGACTATAAGTGAACAGGCTGTTGACTGCCTCTCGACTGCAGTGCTCTGTATTTGCAGCACGTCAACGTCTCGACTTACTACGTATCCGTCGAACTATATACAAACAAAGCATGGCGTTAACACTCGATTCCTAGCCTCATGCAGTCTTCCGGATTGACGGGTGATGGGAATCGAGTTTTGCCGGAGATAGCTGGCCCGAAGTAAGGGGAGAGGCGTTCATGCAGTTGCAGTGCCGCTTAAGCCTACCATGCGCTGCAACATCGCGGACAGGTTCGTGCTAGCCCGGGTTGGCAATTTGATTGAGAAACGGCCGAGCCGAGCCTAGACGAGAGGGACACGTCATTCCATAGCACATTGCGGCTCTTCTCCGCATCTTGGCGTTTCCAACTGCATTCCCGTTCGGTGCATTTCGCCGGCCGAAGGCTGCATGAACTCGACCGGGTGCCCCTATTGTTTTACGAGACGGACCACGCTCGATTGGGCGGCGCAAACAGGGCGGAGCGCGCACCGGTCCACCAGAACTGCTCGACTACCCAGTCGGATCCCAGCAGCTGTACGCCTTCGCCGCCCGTGAATGCGGCTGCTAAAACGGCGGCTGCGCTGGGCGGCGCCCGGATAAAAATAGCATTTCCGATGTCGTGCCACGGCTGGATGCTACTTAAATGCAGCTGTGTCCCTGCTGGTTGTGGTTCCCTCTCCCTCACCAGCCAACTGTCTGTCGTTCTCCATCGCTCGCTCTCTCAGTTCAATAAATCATCCTTCGCAACCTTATAGTCCTCCTCCTCCAACAACAACAACAAGATGCGTCTCACCTCCGCCCTCGGTTCCATCGCGGCCCTCGCCGCCGCCACCGCCGCCGCCGCACCCGTCGCCGCCGCCGCCACCAGCCAGTACGGCAGCTGGGCCGTCGAGTACAGCACCAACTCGGCCGCCAACGGCTGGAAGCAGCAGAAGTTCTCGGCCGTCTACTCGCTCGACCAGAGCACCGCCACCAAGACCGTGTCCTACCTCCCCAGCACCGGCGAGACCGTCACCGTCGACCCCGAGTCGTTTGTCGCCTCGTACAACGGCACTCGTACGTTTTTTTTCTTTCTTTTTTCCCTGGTCTTTTTTTTTTTGGAGAGACAGATTTGCTAATGTTTCTGGGGTGCGGCAGACGTTATTCTTCAGCAGACCGTGGACATTGAGGGCACGCAGACTACCATCTATGGAAGCGCGCCGCTGGAGACCACGTGCGGCGGCACTAACGGTCGTCTCTGCACCGGCTCCGCTACTGTTGAGGTCACCGAGGCGACTGCTTGAATGATTAGCTTGTGAGAGTGGCTTGAGGGGCGCGATTCAATAAAAAAAATGTGTGTATGTATATTGCTTCCGGCATGTAAATAATCGGCTGGTAATGAGAGCGTTGGTTGAGCAATTTGCTTGTGTCGGCAGTGCCATGGCGAGGAGAATCGTGATGCCATTCACGACTGACCAAATGAGGTCGGGTTTGAGGATGCTCAAGTGGATCAGTCTTCTTCAGTGATGTCTGAATAGTGCCGAGACCGCGTCCTGGTGGTCGCCGAAAACGAGCAGAATTCAGATGATACCAGCAAACGTTTCCCTGCAGAGTGTCATTGTCTTCCAACGTTAGGACCCAGAATTAGCTTTTGATCATAGTCAGTTGCCAATCAGAAGCCTTTATTGCCGTGCCAGGTAGCTGTTGCTAAGGTTGGAGTCTTTACGTGGTCCTCTACTACGTCTGATGGGTATGCAGACTGTCCATTGTGAAAAGGGAAGGACCTTGCTAAATATTACCGCCACTCGACCATTTCCCATCTGTAGTAGAACCCTGTTTCACGAAGAGGTAGCTTTAACGTAGATGACCTTTGTTTTTTTATTTCGCGCGAAGAAGACACTTATACAAGGGAGACTTTTCATGCGAAAACGACTCTCCATCCAATCGCCGGGTAGTGCAAGGGGGTATACTAAAGGGACAAAAACTTCTACACGGTTATAGTACTATATAACTACTGAAATAGATAATGAGATACATGTACAAAGACAGAGCTTAAAAAATAGCATCTCTCTATATAAGTCTCATTATGAATGTAGAAAGTTCCTGGTAGAGGTCTACTTGATGGTCGTGGCGGGTTCAATGGCCAGATGGCAATCACCCTCTTACCGGCAGCGGTGCAAGGCCCCGTCTAATGCCAACCAGGTTTCTTCTCCAACGTGCTGCCGTCATCAGGTGACGCAAGGAAAAGCATAAAGTCGGCGGGCGATGACCCGCGTCGTAATCTCCCACGTCCCGCGTGAGATCTCTCACATTTCCATTCTGATGTCACTCCGAAGAACGAGGAACGTTTAATGGTTACGCAGAGAGCGGACGTCAGTAGAGTGGCATCTTCAAGGAAAACAAGCTCACTACAAAGGGAAAACTATGACAATGCTTCGTAAAGATATCTGAGACCGTTTTGAATCAACACTCACTTAACGCCACGATACCATTTAAACCCATTCGATCATCCTCCGTACAAGTTGACGGAGTAGCAAGCGAGCTACGTTATCGACTACGGAGAACGTGTAGCCGTACATTGATTTCTCATCAGTGATGAGGGATCGTTCATGCCGACTGACTGCTCACCTTGGCACTTCCAACCTTATTGCTGAAGAGTTACGAGGCTACCCGGCCGGTTTGCATGTCACATTTGTGACAGGAGCAACATACATTATGAGAACACAATCATTTCCGAGAACATTGGTCCCATGCGTAAATTCATCCACTTTTTCCATGGGAATACCAGAGCCGTTGCAAGGCTCAGAACGACCGGAGTGAAGAAGACCTCTCCTGCCCAATGCCCCGTACGCCAAAACAAGAAAACATTCTCCAGCGACCGTCCGCATCCAGCCCAACCCATCAAATGCACACAAAGAAGCGCAATCATTTTCCCTCCTCCACCATCCGCACGCCCCTACTTCTTCCCCGCAAACAAATCCTTCACCGCCGCCACCACGCCGCCCTCGGCCGGCCTCCCCTCCCCACCCTCGACCACGCTCTTCGCCTCCGTCACGCCAGCCCCCTCAGCCCCGGCGGCGCCCTCGCCCTCGCCCTCGCCCCCGCCCTCCTTAGCGCCCGCCCGCGCCTCCCTCTCCCTCTCCCTCTTCGCCGCCCTCCTCTTCTCCAACCGCGCCCGCATGGCTTTATCCTCCTCATCCCTCGCCTCGAGCTCGCGCAGCCAGGCGTCGCGCTTCTCGACGGCCTTCTTCTGCTGCTGCAGCGCGTCGAACTCCTTGCGCCTCTCGCGGTCCTCGGACCAGTACATGGAGCCGGCGGCCATGGCGACGATGGTGAAGCCCTGCGCGTAGATGCGCCGCCGGAACATGCGGTTCGTCTGGTGGTGGTCGCCCGCCTTCATCGCCCGGCTCGCGCCGATCAGCGCCCAGCAGGTGAGGAGGCAGCCGAGTGGGATGAGCGGCTCTTCGCGCAGCCGGCGCGTGAGCTTTTGCATGCGGTTTTCCGAGTAGAAGTCTCTGTTTTTGGCGCGCGGTGGCGGTTAGCCTTTCTTTGCTTTTCGTTTCGTTTCTGGGAGATGGGGCTGCTCGGTGGGTGGGGGGCGCGTACTCGTTGCCGTCGAAGGACGAGGGAAGTGGCGCGTCGGACATGGTGGGCGGTTTTTTTGCGCTGATTCGAGCTCGATGGGTGTGTGGTGGATGGCGTGGTTGGTTGGCGCGGAGGAGTCGCAAGAGGTGTCGGAAGCTCGGGGAGGAGCAATTGATTGATGTAGCGGGGGGGACGGGGCGGATGAGTGAGCGGGCGCTGGTGGGGTTGGAGGTTGGGTTCTTGGGTCGGCGAGCTCTCTCGCGTGAGATGCATGCGTCAGTATTCGGACGGGGCCATCGGGGAGCCAAGCCTCCGCCACCGAACCGCCCGCATCGCCCAGGGTCACTTGCGCGCGTCCCGGCTCCGCAAACCCAGGCTGCTGACATACCACCCGCCAAACCAACGTCCGACACCTCTGCCGACTCCAAAACGCAGCAGCAGCAGCAGCGGCGTGTGGCCCATGTGAAGCGGAAGCTCACTCGCACCATCTCTTCCCCTCGAGGCATGATACTATGAGCGCCGCCCCCCCACACACCCCGTTCGCGATATGAGCGATGATGCGTCCCCACCGACCGCGGACTGGCCACGCCGTCACCACGACCACGATGCAACGGACGGAGACGGCCCCGGCGCTCCCGACGAGACGGTGGGCCTCGCCGACCAGAAGAAGAAGATGCAGTCCAAGCGGATAGGCTACCTCGACGACCTCCTCCGCAGCCTGGACATCCTCATCTACGCCGAGATATCCGCCGTCTACTACCTAGAGTAAGCCACACCCCCGCGTGCAAGCCTTTGCCCCAGCTGACTCGTGTGTCCCGCCGCAGCTGCTCTTTCCTGCGCTTCGTCCTCCGCGCCTTCGTGCAGTTGATCTGGCTCACCCCGAAGCCCGAGATCCTGCCCGAGCTGCCTTCCAACCGTCCGTACATATACCCCATCAGCGGCTCGAATCTGATATGTCTATTCTGCCATCTTTGGTTCCCGCCCCAGTCGGCGGGCGAGGCAACAAGAGGCTACCTGCACGGCGGCCTGTTGATCGACTGGATCGGCCAGCAAGGCCCCTCGTCGAAACTGCGATTGTTCCTGTTGGACTGCTTCATCCTCGCCCTGCAAGTGGTGATGCTGGCCGCCACGCTCAAGCTGCAAAAAGTAAAGAAGAGGAGGAGGAGGAACAGCAGCAGCAGCATCAGCAGCAGCAGCGACGCGACAACGCGAGAAGGGGGCGACGCGGTGGCCGAAGGCCCGTCGACGACGACGACCACCGCCACCCGGCAGGACGTCGACTCGGAGGAACGCGGGATCCTGCGCCGGTCGTCGACGCTCTCGACCACCACGATGCAAGACGAACGCACCCCGGACGAGCGGGACGAGCTGCTGGGGGGCGGCGACGCCGCGCTGCCCGCGTCGTCGCCGCAGGCCGCCCTCGACGCGCTGAACTCGGGCCAGGCGGTGGTGGCGGAGCTCTTCATCTTCGACACGGTCCGCGACCAGATCGACGTCGCGCTCAACCCGACCGCCGCCGGCACCGCCGCCGAGGCTGCCTCGCGGCCCGCGGTCCTGACCGGCCGCGATCGCCGGAGGCAACTCGCCGCCGCTCTGGCCCGCCGCCGACTCGCTCTCGCGACCAGGTTTGGAGCTGGATGAAGGGGGACCGGGCGGCGGACACGACAGGAGCGAAGCGGTTTCGAAACGAGGGAAGCGAGATTTCGAACGTTTGCTGCTGTAGCTGATTTGACGCGGGACCACCTCCGTCGCTCGATGGCCCAGTCACACGGAGCCGCGCTGCGAGGAGCGCCACGGGGTTTTCAGAGCAGGGGCTGATGTATCCTCCGGTGGGCTGCGGCTTTCGCGTGGTCATCAGACGTCGACATGGGGGGAGCAAACTTAATATGGTTCGGGGGGGAGGTTGATGCAAGAGCAGCGCACACGGTCCGTGTGTATTGAGGCCTGATGCAGATTACAAAGCACTAGCGAGCAGGGCGAAGCGGCAGCCTTTTTTTTTTTTTCTTCTCCTGCTTCATCTTAATGAATGACGGTTCAACCGATGTTTTATCAGATGTGGCTAAGCGGAACCGAGCCACATCGCCTCCCGAACTCACTTTCTACATGCGGACAACAAGGCTGTGCAATAACGGCGTCTCGTGCGCTATAGCAAGCCGCTCAGCCCATTCTCGGGGAGATTGAGCTCAGCAGGATTGCACCCGTCGAGACCGGCGGCGGAAAATGGGGGAGGGAGAGAGAGGGGGGGCACGCAATGCAGTGGCGGCAAGACGGTGACCCGGTACAGACGTGCGTCCCTTGCCAAGCATTTGACAAGCTTCCGAATGGCCTCACAGTGCAGCAGGCAAGCCGAAGTCTCAAGAGCGTGGACGGACCAGGATGTGCATCAAAAAAATTCAGGGAGGCCCAGGCTCACAAAATGCGTCTTCATGCATCTTCCCACCCACACACCTCCGCACATGCAGGCTGAGAGGCCGTGCCTAACCGCCACACATTATTCGAGGCGCGTGCATGTTGTCGGGCAACTGGCCGTGCAGCGGCGGCATGTATACGCGTCCTGCTCCTGCTGACGGACGGATACGAGGACCAACCGAGAGAGGCATGGCCAGCTGTACTTGCAAATAATATGCCCTTTGACTTGTCGATGCTGATCAGCAGAGCAGCGGCGCGGCGGGGCCAGGTGGTGTGGGCCTGGCACTAGTAGGTGCTTGCTCACAACAAACCACCCCCGGTCGCACATCCGCAAGCTAAGCCTCGCCTGCGGGTTGTGCAGATGGCAAGCAGGGGTGGGGCGGGCGGATCAGAGATGCCAAGCTGGCGCCAGCCCGCTCGACGGCAGCGGAAGCCGCTCCTTCTCTGCACGTAAGAGGGCCGCGGGCCAGGGAACAGGGAGTCAGGGAGAGCAGACAATAATTCAATGGGCAAGGGACGCCGAGGGGGCCATTAAGATGGTGGGCACGATGGAATGATCAAAGCGCGTCGTCGGGCGAGAAGAAGTGCAGCACACACGTACCTACACAGTAGCGGCCGGCAAGGCCCTGAAGGAGCTAGCTGTGCGAGAATAATGCGGCACTGTTCACACGGCGAAGGGGCAGCAGTAGTTCTGGGCTGGCAAGATTGGGCAGTGTGCAGGGGCGGGTGCTCATGGCTGGGATACCGAGGCAATCGGGCGTTCGCCGGCAGCTCTGTGCTGCAGCAGGACGACGTCCTTTTTTTGCTTCCCCCTGGCAGGGAGCTGTGCGGGGCGGCTAGCCCGCTAGAGGGGGCTCCAGAGTGCCCGCGTGGTACGATATGGGTTCATTTAAACTTTCAGCGACGTTGGACGAGCCGCGCGGAGCAAAAAGACTTGCTGCGACAGCTTCGCCTTCAAGCAAGCCCGCCTCGTTAGTGGCCCGCCGCCGCGCCGCGCCGCTCTTGCTCTCCCCCTCCCCCCCCCCTGGTCCGCCTTCTTCATGCCCGTCCCGCCCGCCGTTCCTGGGATGCTGCCTGCTCGCCGTGCACACCACCTGCTAGCCGCGGGGGATGACGCGTGAGCTGAGCACCACGCTGCACGTGCTCTTCCCTACCGTGTCCCGCGTTTTAATTTGGGGAAGCGCGGCAAATGCTGGTGGTCGTGGTCCCGCCGATTCGAGAAGGATTTTAGCCACCCTCTTTTTTAGCTTCGACGACCAAGCGAGAGCAAGACAGGGCGGCCGCCCGGCCCGCACATGGTCTTGCCGCCGCCGCTGAGGAGGATTGCTTGCGTGCTCCGCCCCCCCTCGCCGCACTCTCCCGATCTGCTGTCTCTCTCCCGACCCGGTTCCGACCACCAGGCCCCCCGGTCGATAGCCGACTTCGCCCTGACCACAGCATCGTCGTGTCCTTGCTGCTCTGGAGCAAGAAGCCACAGAGAGGAGGCTCACTGACCCAGCAGCACCCCTGCCAAGGGTCCAGCATGCGCGGCCCTCTCCCAGAGTCGATCTGGTCCGTTGCCAATATGGCCCTCCGTATTCGACCGACGTTGTTCGCTCGCCCAGCCTTGTTCCGGCACTCGGGCCATTCTCAGCTAGCCTTTTTCCAAGTTGCTTCCGGTGCATGCGCGCAGGGATCAAGTGTCTGATGGTGATGGTCTTCCCTGCCGCTGCTGCGCGCACCTGTGTCACACGTTGCTTTCTCTCGTGCCAGCAGAGCAGCATCGGCGGAGGAGCAACCTGCAAGTAGAAAGCGCGTCGTGATGTCGGTACTCGCCGCCGCCTGCGTCAGCGAGTGGCCAGGGCTCGTGACTGCTGCCTCTCCGCCAATAGACTTGGGTTGCGCCCAAACCACAACTTTTCTGCTGCATCTCCCGCCCTGCAGAGATAGATAGAGAGAGAGAGAGAGAAAGAGGGAAAGAGATTCTAGCCCCTCTTGTCCGCCACCAAATTCAATCAAGCCACTCCACCGCCGCCGCCTCCGGCTGGCATGGCGCCACAACACTTTCGCCTCCGAGACCAAGCCTTCTGGCAGAAAACGGCCCTGCGCCAAACCCTGGTCCCAGGCGCTCACGACCCACAGACAATCGCGGTACCGGTGCGGTTTTAGCTGAGTCAGGTTTCCCTCCCGCACGACCTCCAGCACGTACATGGCACTACTACTCCGTACCACTGCGCCATCTCTTCCAAACCATCTTTCCCTTTTTCTTTCTCACCCCCCGGTCAAGCTCCGTTGCATGCCTCTCCCCTCCCCACCCCCCCGGTCTTCCCACTCCCACGCCAAAAAATTGCAACCATGCTCCCTGTCTATGGCTTGCCTTGCGTGCTTTTTTTTACCCTGAGAGCAGTGAGACGGGGCGTCATCTCCGCGATGGTGACGTAGGCATAGATCATGGGATCCTTAGCGGCTCGGATCTCATGTTGCTTCTTCGCCGTCTCTCTTGTGGCTCAGCACTTCGCGCTTTGCTTCCGGCGCGGCCCTAAACGTGGTGCCTCCCTCCCTCCCACACCTACCTCTCCTTCGACCGGCCTCCCGCCACCGATCGATCGACCCCTACCTAGGTAGTGCACGGCATGGGAAACTGTCCTGGTCTTGAGATATACCTAGCGGGAGACCCTGGGTCTGGACGCCCCCCTCCCCCGACCGACCGACCCATCTTCTAGATCCTCACGGTACCTACGTCGGGATCATTGCGTGCCATTATTGTCAAGGACGCGGTGAGGCGTCGAATAATGGGTAGCTGTGATCTACGTGTGCCACGGCGCCTGGCCTGCAATAATGACTCGCGCCGCGTCCTGGCCGCCCCGGGCCCCCGTCCCGTTTTTATTTTTTATTTTTTTGAAAGAGATTCCAAATCGTTTGTTTTCCTGACTCGTTGGATGTGGAGCGCGGATCATTAAAAGTTGGCTGCGGCGGATGTGTATGTCGAACAAGGCGAGGCGAAACGAAACGGACGGACGGACGGACAACAGACGATAAAAAAATGACAAGGGTGGCCCGCGTCATTTTTTACCCCACCGTTAGGTCTGTTCAGCCCTACCGATACGACATGGGTGGGGAGTACGGGCTAGAGGGGGGTGGATCTAGGTTTTTTTCTTTTCTTTTTCTTTTCTGCCGTGCGTCGGGAGCGCATACACGTATGCGGCTCGATGCTGATGGCATAGTAGTTGCTATTGCGCGCATGTTGCATCCCGCTGCCGGCTGGGTGGGTAGATGTGGATCGAGGTCCAACGGGTCAGCGGGTACGGTGCCAGGTTCAGGTACGGAGCTGGTGCTGCAGATAGCCACGCCCAAACATACCGTAACCAGTCGTGTCGGCCGTGAGTTCAGGGCTGAGAGGAAGGTTGCCACAGCGCGTTTGCCTTTTGCGCACTGGCAGGCCGAGAACGGATGAGGTGCCGGCGCACAGACAGCAGGAGCGCGACGATTGATACCTGCCTGGAAGTGAGGGAGGAGGATGATTGCTCCGCGGAGCTCGGACCGCGACGCGATACGACGCGATACGACGACGGCGCCACCAAGGAGGAGCCGCCTCGGCAATCTACAAGCCAGGGTCGAGTTGACGAGAGACGCTTGGAGCAGCAGACCGCAATGCATCTTCGACGTCGAGTCCAGACCGTGCCGGAATGACGTTGGCTTCAATGCGCCAGTCCTTCGCCCAATATCATGCCGTGTCTGATCATCCTCTTCCCTTTTTTTTTTCCTTTTCTTTTTCGCCTGTATCCATACTGCTGACACTGTGTCGAGCCTCGCATCAACGCCCTCGACTTCCGTATGATGAAACGAAGAGCGGCACACGGCGAAAGCTGCTCCTCCAGTCTGCAGGACCGCATCCCTCACTTCTTCATTCTTGGCCCATGCAACCGCCAGAAGGACATTGGCCCTTCACCATCTCCTACTAGTCCGCTTATCCCCCACCGTTTCAGAGGCGTAAACCTTATTTTCCATCTGAAGCCTACCACGTCACTCTCAGCAACCGCTTACCTCCTGATTCCTTCCCTCATGTTGCACTTCGTATCGCAACAGAAACACGCTTCCCCAATCAATGAATGACCGAGCGCGTCTGTGCCCCCGCCACGCGCCGCAATAAGAAAGAAAAGAGGGCGGCACATAATTTTGCCGGCGTCGTATCTCACGCCAGACGAGGCCAGCCGGTTGATGGGTGGGGAGCGGGGAAGCGGGAGCGGCGCCTT